TATATATATATATATATATATATATATATATATATATATATATATATATATATATATATATATATATATATATATATATATATATATATATATATATATATATATATATATATATATATATATATATATATATATATATATATATATATATATATATATATATATATATATATATATATATATATATATATATATATATATATATATATATATATATTGCTCAAATATATCCAGCAGGAGACAGAGAAATTTGCATCCTCTTCCAAATATTTCCCAAGTGATGTTTGACAGATCAAGATTTTTTTTTTACAGTATTTCCTAGTAGATTTTTCTTCTTTTCTTCTAGATGACGCTTATTTGAGCACAATAAAATATGATCATGCCTTGATTTTGACTGATTTCATCTTTGACTGATTTCACCTCCATCTTACCCCAGACATACTCAATAATGTTCATGTCTGGTGACTGGGCTGGCCAATCCTGGAGCAGCTTGACCTTATTTGCTTTCAGGAGCTTTGATGTGGAGGCTGAAGTATGAGAAGGAGCGCTATCCTGCTGGAGAATTGTCCCTCTCCTGTGGTTTGTGATGTAATGGGCAGGACAGATGTCTTGATACCTCAGGCTGTTGATGTTGATCATCCACTCTGCAGATTTCTCGCACGCCCCCAAGTGGTACTCACTGCAGAGCTACTAGGCCAGAGTTGAGCTCCAGCAAGGGGGAGCTTGAGCTCCAGCTCCTCTTTCCTTGCACTTCTTTTACAAATGATATCACTGGGGGTTGGGGTTAGGGGTGGGGTGGGTGTACACATTAAAACAGCTTATAGTAGGAGTAGTTGGAGCTCAAATGACTCTGCAGTGAGCAGCGTCTCGATTTCTCCAAACTGAATGTAACCCCAAACCATGACTTCTCCTTCACCAAACTTGACTGATTTCTGTGTGAATCTTGGTTCATGCTGGTCCCAGTAGGTCTTCAGCAGTATTGGTGATGATTGGGATGCAGATCAACAGATAATTCAGCAGATAAATCCACCTTCTGACACTTTCCCAAATGATCAACTAGAAGTCAAGTTATTATTTGCTGCACTTACAACTGGAATCCGCAACAATACTTTTAACAGGTAGTATATGTTTAATTACACACATAAATAAAGGAATTAAATAAAGCACTGAGCCAAAGAAAAATTAATGAATAAAAGTTTTAGAGTTTCCCAGAGATGGGTTGCGGCTGTAAGGGCATCCGCTTCGTAAAAACATGCTGGATAAGTTGGCGGTTCAATCCGCTGTGGCGACCCCGGATTAATAAAGGGACAAAGCCGACAAGAAAATGAATGAATGAAAGTTTTAGAGATTATTGATACCAGTGCCGCTGCAGTGAGGGTTTTTGGGAGCTTCGTCTGAGTGGTCATGACAGTCAAACTCTCCATCACACTCCCAGGACTTCTGGATCAGACAGCGGCCGTTATCACAGCGGAACTCATTCGCCTTACATGCGGGATACTCTGGAGAAACAAACACAACAATGACAAAAAAATAAGACTTTTGCTTTCAACATCAGTTCTCTGAATGTTTGGACACACTGTGGAAAAAACAGCAAATCTGTGACCTGGACAACAAAACCAGTCATAAGTGTCTTTCTATTAGTTTAGAAAGCTAGTTCTGTTAGTCTATGATGTTGAACAGATTCAGGAATTTTTCCAACCCAAGCTCATTCTGGAAACGTAGCCCCGCGGACGTTTCTGTAGACCGCGTTTAGTTTTTTTCGAGCGAACGATGCGTGGCGGTGTGGCGCCGCTCCGCCCCTCCTCTTCGCGCTCGCCAGCCGACGGCTCGCCTCCGAGTGGAGGGCTTTCCCGATGCAACCAGTTTGTCCGCTCAGCTCAAAGCGTTACGTCGGCGAAGCGGAGCCCCCGGAGGAGGAGGAGCCGGCCGCAGGGACAACGACCGGGATCGAGTCCGGGGAACAGCGGTTCTGGAAATCAGGTGTGATGAAAAACAGAATCTGAAAAATAAGGGCGAGAACGCGGTGGGATCTGAAAACGCGGTCGAAATTGAAGACGAGGGCTTTTGCTTTTTTTTTTTTTCTGGACGGCTTTTGCAAACCGTCGCTTGGGTTTAGGGAAGGAGGAGGAGGAGGAAGAGGAGGGCAGCCGGGTCGACCGATCCCGCGGCTTTTCGCACGAGAACATTGCAGGCGCGAATAGCGCGCGCTCCCGAGAGGCGCCCGAGACGCGAAAAAGCGCGCACAGCGGCCTCTCGCGATCCGCGAAAACAAAAAACGCTCGAATACGTACCTACGACGTAAATCGCGGTCCGCAGAAACGGCCACAGGGCTACGTTTCCAAAATGAGCCCGGGTTGAATTTTTCACAGTATTTCCTATAATATTTATTCTTCTGGGTAAAGTCTTATTTGTTTTATTTCGGCTAGAATAAAAGCAGCTTTTATTGGTTTCAAACCAATTTTAAGGTCAATATTATTAGCCCCCTTCAGCAATATTTGTTTTGGATTTTTTCCAGAACAAACCACTGTTCAACAATAACTTGCCTAATTACCCTAACCTGCCTAGTTACCCTAATTAATCTAGTGAAGCCTTTAAATGTCACTTTAAGCTGAATACTAGTGTCTTGAAGAATTTCTAGTCAAATATTATTTACTGTCATCATGGCAAAGAGAAAAGAACTCAATTATTAGAAATGAGTTATTAAAACTACTATGTTTAGAAATGTCTTCAAGAAATCTGCTCTGTTAAACAGAAATTAGAGGGAAAAAAATAAACATAGGGGCGAATAATTCAGACTTTAACTGTATATATATTATATGATGCATAATTAAATAATATTTTACATGAGCCCTTTGTTAGATGATATAGACAGAATTTAAACTTGCAAGTTTAATTTAATCATGTGCAATCTATGCATAAACACACAAATTCAAACTAATCAGACTGAATTCTGTTCTTATTTCATCTGACTAAAGCATTGATTTAATTTGAGAGTCAAGTATGGTAACATCTCACGAGTCATTCATTAGCTGTAATTCATGTCATTATTTGCTAACGATGAGATAATCATCTCTTGCTGGGAATAATCGAGTACATACCGCACTCCACAGATTCATCAGAGCCGTCTCCGCAGTCATTATCATGGTCACACACAAAGTGTTTGGGGATACACTGTCTGTTCTGACACATGAACTCTCCCGCCTTACACGTGTTGTTGAACACTGCGCAGAAGAGAAGAAACAAGTGATCAGCACAGCACTTTCACAGAAGCATCATGTATTTAAAGAGCACACACACACACACACACACACACACACACACACACACACTCTGGGGACATCAGAGGCTTTATATCTTGTAAAATGGGGCAGAATTGGTCTTCTTTTATGTGCTCACCACAGCCGGCCTTCACACTTTCGTCGGCTCCGTCAGGACAGTCTCGGTCTCCGTCACACACCCAGCGCTGCGGGACACACTTGTGAGAGTCTGGACACTGGAACGCATCCGCACTGCACGTCTTATTCTCTGTAAAAAAAGATCATATATCAACATATGTAACAATGTTTAGAATAATTAATTGAGTTAAATGTGTCATGGAGATAGGCTGTAAAAGTAAACGACTTTCACAGCATTTGTTCACACTCAGCCAGCCATCTGCAGGATATACGGATTATTCAACGTCATTCCGAAGAGTCAAAACACAAAATGCAGGATATACGGATTATTCAACGTCATATTGAAGAGTCAGAACACAAAATGCAGGATATACGGATTATTCAACGTCATATTGAAGAGTCAAAACACAAAATGCAGGATATACAGATTATTCAACGTCATAATGAAGAGTCAAAACACAAAATGCAGGATATACGGATTATTCAACGTCATTCTGAAGAGTCAGAACACAAAATGCAGGATATACGGATTATTCAACGTAATATTGAAGAGTCAAAACACAAAATGCAGGATATACGGATTATTCAACGTCATTCCGAAGAGTCAAAACACAAAATGCAGGATATACGGATTATTCAACGTCATCCCGAAGAGTCAGAACACAAAATGCAGGATATACGGATTATAAATTTATTCAGCACCATCCTTAAGAGGCATAAGGATTGTTTAACTGTATATATTTTGCTAGTTTATTATGTTTATTGTGAAATTAGTTTGTAATGAGGCAAAAAAAACACATGTAGTGCTGAGTATATGTTCATGTCTCATGTCATATCATGCAGTTCTTACTGTGATTTTTCAGGAGTGATGGCAATATAAGTCAAAAATACATCATTATAGTTGATAGTTGTTTAAGGTTAATTTTATTTCCTGCTTGTCTTTATATATATATATATATATATATATATATATATATATATATATATATATATATATATACAGTAGGTGAGAGTTCAAAGTGGCTATTAACGCCGCGGCTGGTACCGCCGCCGTTTGAAATAGGTGCCGCTCTGTTTTTAGTGTATGACCGCAGTTTGTGAATGAGCCGCCAGGGGGCGCAAAGGGACGGGATGCGAACGGACAGAAATAGATCATACAGCTACTGTGCTTGTAAATGATATTAAACAATAAGTCAAAGCATTATAATTCCTTCATTAATCATTTAAAATTTGTTAACACGCTTTATTGTAAACTTTTTAAGTGCAAAGAGGATTCGTTTTGGAAAATAGAATTGAAGAAGTAAAAGACAACTAAAATGAAAGCACAAACATTTAGTACAAATAAGTAGTCTTAAATAAATAAATAAATAAATAAATAAATAAATAAATAAATAAATAAAGCAGCCTAAATATAGAAAGATGTTCAGTGTTTGCTATTTTGATAGGACTAAGACAAGACATTTTCATTTATGTTTTATTTCTGTTTTTATTTCCATTTTCGTTGTTGATTATATTTTACTATCTTATTTATGTCTCAACAATTGTACATAAACGAATAATAAACGAATAATGAAAATAAATGAATAATGAAAATAGGCCTAAATAAATTATTTATTTAAAGACATTGCCGTACAGTACGTGAAACACTGAGAAAAATAAATTGACCTACCTTAAGCAGATCACTAAAAGTATAATAAAATTATTTTTGCCGCAGGACATAAATTAAGTCTTGCAGGTTTATTTTTAATAATTTAGTTTCAGTTCTGTTCATTTTTTTTTTCAAAACGTCAATGTTCTCCTTTAAAGTAGCTATAACTGTTGTTTTGTTTTTTTGTTTTTTTTTTTACTTATGGCTCAGTATGTTTTGTATTTTAACTTCATATTCAGTCACCTTGCAAATGTGTGTGAAATATAATGCCGCATAACCGCGGAAAAAGAAGAAAAAACTGTCGAAGGTTAGAGCTAATTCATCAAAATAAGCTATATTAAAATACAACATTTATGTTAATACAGGCAGAGTGTGAACAAACTCAAGGCTAAGATATGCGCTTGCCTTTTAATGCATTTGCGGCCTTTAGGCTACAGGCAACTATGTATAATAATGTTTTTTTTTTTTCTTGTTTTTTTTTTTTGTATGGTAAAGGACAATACACATTATGTTATTGATGTAAACTTAGGCTAAAACTTACCATTGATAAACGTGACCTACCTCAAGCAGATCACTTAAAGTATAAAAAAATAAAGTAGGCTATATATATATATTCTTAATAAACTTCACAGCCACAAATATAAAAACAACTTGTATTAAAACTGGGCGAGGATTAGAAAGAATACGATGCTTGTTATATATAATTTAAATTTTGATTCCAATTTCTGCAAGCACATTTTTTCACTCGCTACTCTGCCAGAAACTTCGCCGCCGGAGAGCACCTCAATAATGTAAACATTTGTTTAAAGATGGAGCGCAAGATGTGCCGAGTGGCAACATGTGAAGAACGATGGCAAAGCTAAGTGTGATTATNGTAATAAACTAAGTTATAAAGCAGAGTCCCGACCAACAGGACTAAGCATATGCGGTTGGCTCATTCTTCACGAATATAGAATTAAAATAATGGCGCGTTAGGTTCACTAAGCAGCGCATTCTCTCCGCCTCATCGTTTAACCAGCGGGACACGCTGCTGAAGCAGGAGAGACACTCCGTCATTCATAATCTTAGCTGATGTATCGGAGTCGAAAGAATATATCAAAGAGGAATTTTCTTTTAACAGTCCCGATATGTTTAATCTTTTTATTTTATTTTTTTTTTCGTGTCATTTCTCTTCAGCAAATTAGATATTTTTTAAAGCTGCTTGATTCTTTTAAAACCGAAAGCAGGGCCCATAGTGTTTTTCCATAAGATACTCCTTTATGAATGTTTTAATTTTTTTATTAAAGTTTTTAATGTGCTTTTTGATAGTTTTATTTTATTTCAAGCAGCATCTAAATGCGAATTTATCCTCAAAACTTGGCATGAGAGCGATGCAAGTCATGTGTGGCATAATTGCCTTTTTTCCCTGCGCGTGCGAGATCAATTTCTGATCTTTTTGCAACTAAAATGAAAGCATAAACATTCAGTACAAATAAGTAGTCTTAAATAAATAAATAAATAAATAAATAAAGCAGTCTTTTAACCTAAATATAGAGAGATGTTCAGTGTTTGCTATTTTGACAGGACTAAGACAAGACATTTTCATTTATGTTTTTATTTCTGTTTTTACTTACATTTTCGTTGTTGATTATAGTTTACTATCTCATTTTATGTCTCAACAATTATAGATAATAATAAACGAATAATGAAAATTAATGAATAATGAAAATAGGCCTAGATATATTATTTATTTAAAGACATTGCCGACATTGAGCTTAAGTTGAATGCAGCTTCATCAAAAGCAGAAAAAAATAAAATAATTTGACCTATTTTAAGCAGATTATAATAAAAATATTTTTGCCGCAGGACATAAATTAAGTCTAGCGGGTTTGTTTTT